AAGTTTTGCGCGGCGAATTGTAGTCTATAGAGGCGTGATCAGTGTGGGCGCTTGGGGCAAGTTCCTTGGAAGAGGACAGCATGGAGGGTGATACTCCCGTTCATCCCTGAGTTGCTCGTGCGTACGATCCGTTTTCTTTGAGTCGCGTTGTTTGGGAATGACCTTCTGTGTCTTTTACTTGTTAAATCCCTTACCAGGCTCGGCTGCATGTCCTTTCTTTCCTTGACCATCATCCCAGCTGTATTATCCTCGGATCCACCGGATCCATGGCGTAATCAATATGGTCACCTTATTATGGGTACACTCATCCGAATTCAAGTCGCTTGGATCCACTTCACTGTAAGTGCACACTCGTCATGGATCTGAGTTCTCCAATCATCCAACATCATCTTGCGACCGTCTGTGGTCTCCATTGTCCCACGGAAGCTCGAGATCCACTGTATCCGTCATTCCTGCATCCTGGATCCAGGTCACTTTATGCGGGATCGTGCCTCCTTGGATCCGAACTCGGAAGTATGGGATCTGGGACACCTCGCGGTGGATCTTGACGCCTCATTAGCCGTGGTTACTAGATCCACCTCCAGATGACACCTACCATCATTCCTTCATAGGATCCACACTCGATCCACTGGTGCATAGTATATTCCATATACACCTAAGTGAATCTGAATAAGGGTGGATCCGAGATAGGTCTTGGTGGATCTTGCCTTCCCGTACATCACTTATACCAGATCCATCGTCGTCTCATACGGGGTGCTGCTCGTCATGGCTAATCCACCTCAGGCAGCTTGCATCCGCGCCGGGCGATCCGAATCCTCTCTAATCACTTGAAATTGTCACTGATTCGGGATAATGACCCCGCGTTAGGTCCCTTCTCTTATTTCTGAGAAAGCACTTCACCACAAAAGCCTCCCACTCAGCCCGGGTAAGGTGGCGGAAGTTGTCGTGCTCCATAGTTGTTCCGGTGCAACCGGAAGTCAAGCCGTGCTGCATCTTGGTCTTGGTCTTGGCCGTTGGAAGGACTACAAAGTATGTTTCTACCGTCATTAGCGTACACGTAGCGGTGAGGAAGCTCACAAGCAAGATAGACTTAACTCTTAGTAAAATAGACTCTGATTTAATTTAGGAACACTAGGTGGTAGGATCTGGCCAATGTATTATCCAGTTATCGCTACCAACACTAGAATTACAATTCCCAACCTTCACTGAGCTTGTACGACCAATTGAGTTTCGATTCTTGAGAGAAGGAAGGCACTTGCGTGATACTGTGCAAATTGAGGTCTTATTGGTTGATTTAGTTCCTAGGGGCGAAGTATGCACGAAACTTGTCCAGACCAATGCTCATCTCAGCTACGATTGTCATGCGAGGCCAAATCCAATCTTCGTCGAAAAGCCACACGTAGTTGTTCTACACTTGATGATCCCGTTACGATTTCGTGCCCACTTGTTCTCTAGTTCGTGATCTTGGTTACTTCATAGTGAGACCTAATGCTTGGCGGGCGGAGTAGACGCTGATCTCCCCATGGCCAATATCCACCCTGTTAGGGAGATCGTCCGAGGCCAAATTCAATCCTCGGGACGACTACAGGTCACATGCTCTCCACAAAGCAAATTGAGGTCTGATTCATAGCTAAGTTTATACCTGCCTGGATTTCTACCTTCTATGTCTTTTAATCCCCTACCACGCTCGGCTGCCTGCCCTTTCCCTCCTTGGCCCATCACTACAGCTGTATCAGAATCATCTCCACCGGATCCGTGGCGTAATCAGCGTGAGGTCACCATGTTAAGGTTACACTGTTCTGGATCCAAGCCACTTCAGCCCACCTTACTGCAAGTGTACACTCATCATGGGTCTGAGCCCTCCAATCCTGTCATGCGGATCCCGAACCCACGATAGATCGAAGATCCAAAGGAACCGGTGAGAGGCGGGAACGGAAACGTCGAACCAATTAGTGGCCCTTAAGGATCTATTACGTCTGCTTACGGGAGTCGGGCATCGAGCGATGAGCGGTTCCGTATAGGGGGGATAGCATCCGATCCTAGATTGCGGGTGGAGCGGGGGTGAGGAAAGTCGTGCAATATTTACTAGGATACCAA